ACTCTGAACCCAGTGGTCCTTCTATTCCTTTGCTTGGGGCATCACAACTTTACCCTCATCCCAGGGGCCATGGCTGCCCAAGGCTCATCCCCAGCACATCTCAATGGAAAAATATAAACTTAAACCAGCCCAGCCTTCCTCAGGCTTTGGCTTTCATCCCCCCTACGTTCCCCAGTGCTCTGTTCCTCAGTAGAATGCCCTCCCCCCCCGGGCTTTCTCCCCAGAGAGCCTGCCCCCTTCCCAGGGCTCACAGCCAGAGCTTGCTCCACCCAGGGAACAACCCTGCTGACTTCTTGCCACACTTCTCTATTCAGGAAAGGCTCCCAGGGCCAACTCTCACCTAAGTTTCTTCTTAGACTCCCCTGGCTGCTGCACAGACAAGAGGCTGCAGAGGTTAGTCTGGCTCTCCGCATGCAGCTGGCTATCTCCCCCAGCTTTAGGCTTCCTCTTTTTACAGCAACCTCTCAGCTAGGACTCATGTTGGCCTGGCCCTGGGCCAACTCCCAGGTGCCTGTAAGTGCTCTAATTGAGCACATCTGCCCCAATTAACTATTTCAGAGCCAGTGAAGGTCTGGCCTAGCACCACTATGAAGCCACATTTTTTAGTGAACAAAAGAAGTGGCCACACTTTTTTGCTCACCTCTATTTCAACCCTTCATCTCTCTTGTCTGTTTGGGCCGAGACTTTCTCACTCTGGGCCAGTGTTCCCTGTAAGCTGAGCACTTGTGCAGCGGCCCAGGAGAAATTCAAATACTGCCCAGCTGATTAGCAGAGCACCCATAGCCACCTGCACCTGGCAGCATGTGTTTCTATTGGTGGTGCCCATCTGTAAATACGTTGGTGCACATAAAATTTATTCTGCACATGGATGGAATAAATTAGAGGGAACAGAGCTCAGGGCCAAGCGCAGTGGGATCCTGCAAGGGTGTGATAATAATAAAGAAAAGCAGAAGCCTTCTGTTTTTTAGATTCCTTTTTCTCACCATGTTTTCTGAGGCGGCAGTGAAGACTTTGTAAAGCAGTATTTGTTTTGCATCCACTAAATAGCAGCATACTATTCTCTTGCTCCGTATTGTTAGAATAGAGGAGTGAAGTTCTGGAACAGCCTTCCAAGGGAAGTAGTGGGGGCAAAAGACCTAGCTGGCTTCAAGATTAAGCTAGATGGGTTTATGAAGGGATTAACAAACATGTGGACAAGGGGGATCCAGTAAATACAGTATACTTAGATTTTCAGAAAGCCTTTGACAAAGTTCCTCACCATAGGCTCTTGTGTAAATTACATTGTCATAGGATAAGAGAGAAGGTCCTTTCATAGATTGAGAACTGGTTAAAAGACAGGAAACAAAGGGTAGGAATAAATGGAAAATTTTCAGAATGGAGAGGGGTTACTAGTGGTGTCCCCCAAGGGTCAGTCCTAGGACTAATCCTTTTCAACTTATTCATAAATGGTCTAGAGAAAGGGGCAAGCAGTAAAGTTTGCGGATGATACTAAACTGTTTAAGATAGTCAAGACAGAAGCAGACTATGAAGAACTTCAAAAAGATCTCACCAAACTGAGTGATTGGGCAACAAAATGGCAAATGAAGTTTAATGTGGATAAGTGTAAAGTAATGCACGTTGGAAAAAATAACCTCAACTATACATAAAGTACGATGGGGGCTAATTTGGCTACAACAAATCAGGAAAGAGATCTTGGCGTTATCGTGGATAGTTCTCTGAAAACGTCCACACAGTGTGCAGCGGCGGTCAAAAAGGCAAATAGAATGCTAGGAATTATTAAGAAAGGGATAGAAAATAAGACACAGAATATCTTACTGCCCCTGTATAAAACTATGGTACACCCACATCTTGAATACTGTGTATAGATGTGGTCTCCTCACCTCAAAAAAGATATTTTGGCCTTGGAAAGGGTTCAGAAAAGGGCAACTAAAATGATCAGAGGTTTGGAACAGGTCCCATATGAGGAGAGGCTAAAGCGACTGGGACTTTTCAGTTTAGAAAAGAGGAGACTGAGGGGGGATATGATAGAGGTATATAAAGTTATGAGTGGTGTGGAGAGGGTGAATAAAGAAAAGTTATTCATTAGTTCCCATAATATAAGGACTAGAGAACACAAAATGAAATTAATGGGTAGCAGGTTTAAAACTAATAAAAGAAAGTTCTTCTTCACACAGCACATAGTCAACCTGTGGAACTCCTTGCCACAGGAGGCTGTGAAGGCTAGAAGTATAGAGAAGCTGGATAAATTCATGGAGGTTAGGTCCATAAAAGGCTATCAGCCAGGGGGTAGGAATGGTGTTCCTGGCCTCTGTTTGTCAGAGGCTGGAGACGGATGGCACGAGACAAATCGCTTGATCATTGTCTTTGGTCCACCCCCTCCGGGGCACCTGGCGCTGTCCACTGTCAGCAGACAGGCTACTGGGCTAGATAGACCTTTGGTCTGACCCAGTACGGCCATTCTTAGGTTCTTATGGTTTGATGAGATAACATGACCTTGGTAACTAATTGACCTTTCACTATCAGTGGTAAATAGGCCAATGGTGGGATGATAGGAGTTACTATAGAGAACTTTTCCTGGGTGTCTGGCTGGTGAGTCTTGCCCACATGCTCAGGGTTCAGCTGATCGCCATTTTTGGGGTCGGGAAGGAATTTTCCTCCAGGGTAGATTGGCAGAGGCCCTGGAGGTTTTTCCCCCTCCTCTGTAGCATGGGGCACCGATCACTGCTGGAGGAGTCTCTGCATCTTGGGGTCTTTAAACCATTTGAAGACTTCAATATCTGAGCTATAGGTGAGAGGATTATACCAGGAGTGGGTGGGTGAGATTCTGCGGCCTGTATTATTCAGGGGGTCAGACTAGATGATCATAATGGTCCCTTCTGACCTATGAGTCTATGAGAATACCTGGCATGCCCTCTTGATAATAGGGTTGCCAACAATCCCAACTGGATGGACCAGACGCCATTGCCACAGCTGGTATCCGGTCTGTCCAGTCAGGAGAGGTGGCAACCCCACTTGATGATTGTAAGATGTAGTGCACCAGGCATGGAGTTCTCCATGCAGGGGAACACACCAGTTGGAAAATCATGAAGATTAAACTGAGCCCATTTTCATTGTCCCGACTGAACTGAGGCAAAAAGTTGTGTTCAGCGTACAGAACCTCCCTGGTCCCAATAAACCAAGCCAGTATGGCCCCCAAAATACTAAGGGGGGCAGGCAGATACAAAGATACGGGACATTCCATCAATTGCCAATCTGGATGGGAGCCTTAAAAAAAAAATCCCAAGTAAAACCAAAGTCGGGAGGGTTCTCCTGAAAGCACTCACCAGACAGCTTCCTATCTTGTCCCAAAGCAATTTTCCCACAAGGGCAGTCCCTCGGACTACAAATCCCTTTCCAAAGAAACAGCTGAAGGGTAAAATCCACCCCCTGTGCAGAGAGCGCTCCAGCCCACCAGCAGCTGTGCAGTCTGGTCCCAATCCAGCAGAGCCCAGAAGCACATAATCAGAAGTCAGCAGGACTGCCCCGTGTGCGATGTCAGACTTGTGTCTCAGTGCTTTGCTGGATGGTGGCACCTTGCAGGGTTGAACTCAGCCTGCAGAAGGTATATGCACCACAAAACCAAGCTGAAGTGTATTTTGAGGGCTCTGCGGGTGTATAGGCTTGCCCTAGTCTTTATAATAGGAATATTATAAAATCAGCTGCCACCTGATTGGCTATTTTCAATGTGGAGTTGCATCTGAACTAAAGCCCTGAATCCAAACACCCTCTGATGGGCAGTTAGTCCTGGTCTACACTAGGGAGTTAATTCGAAATAACCCCCTTATTTCAAAATAATAAGCGGAGTGTTTACATTACCAAGCCTGTTATTTTGAAACAACAGGCTGGTTATTTCAAAATCTGTACTCCTTTCCTCAGGGAATAACGCTTATTTCAAAAAAGTGATTTCGAAATAGCATTAGTGTGGACACTCCGTTGCTGCGATTTTGAAATATCTACTGCAGAAGAAAGGGTAATTCAAAGTAGCTACTCCCCAGTGCTTCCTGGGGCTGTAAGTCATGATAATGTGTCCACAGTAATGGAGCCTGCCTTGGACTAATTTTGAGGTGGGGACACACTATTTTGATTTTGTTATTTTGGCAGTTATTTCAAATGTAGTTATTTCAAAATAATTTCCTAGTGTAGACATGCCCTTAGTCAGCTGCAGATGGCCTTCTTCTAGCTTTTGTACATTTACCTCAATGATGCCAGCCAAGCAAATCAAATACAAGAAATATGCTTGACTAAGTTGAAGACAATGATCAAGGGTGCTGTGTCCCCTCTTCACTAGATGGTCTTCCATTCAAAGGATAAGCAGATCCTACTCCTAGCAATTAAATCGGTGGCAGTGTGTGCTAACAGTACAGGGTTCAAATTCTGCTTGCGGATGACTGTTTAAAAATAGGTTTCACCGGTAAGTCCTGATTTTCCATTGCTTTGCATCTAGGACAGTGATTTTCACTGGGTGCAAAAGGCTGCCAGACTGGGAGCATTTTACAATCAAATTGCACTCAGACTGCATTGGTGTAAATGACTGTACAAGGTGCAGGACAGCAGAGAATGGGGTCTATTATGCTTCCGATAACCAGACCAGGAGTATTAACTCACAGAGAGTGCCAAAGCTTCCTTCTTACCAGCAAAAGATGATTTCAAGGCAGAGAGCAATTCTGTCCCTCCGTAGCCTCTTTCTCCTGTCCACTGACAGCCTTCTGCTTATTACCAACATGGTCCAGAAAAAGTCCTTTCCCTTTGCTTGTGGATTTTTTATTGTATAGCTGTCATGATTATGAGGGTTAGCCAGCAGCCTGGGGATTAAGGGGTTAACTACACCTAGCCAGGTGGAGTGACCAATAGGAATGTAGGTGGGATTTTTCAAACAGGGACAAAGGAATTTGGGTTTTTTTTTCTCTTCTCCCTTTTGTCTCCCTGAGAGAGTTCTCTGCAGCTACAGAGAGGAACAAGCATGTCTCTCTCTCTCTCCAAGACACCATTCTTCATTTTCTGTAAGTAGGGTAAAGTTTAGGTAGTTTCGTTAGGTTTTATTGTTTTAAGGATTGGGTATGGGATCTGAGATCTGGCACTGCTTAAAAGATGTTTTGGCTTTTCTTTGTAACTAAGTTCTAGGCCCATGGAGTTTCTCCATGAGTATATTTTGTTACCTTCCTCTCTAGTCATTATACTTGCAACCGGAATATTGTTGTAATAATAAAAGTTCTTTCTTTTCTTTTTATTAACCTGGCAGTGGTTAATGGTGTGCCCTGATTTTTGTTTTAGGGGTAAGATTTCCCAAATGATCTTTCCCCTGATTTCTTTATCAACATTTGGGTGGTGGCAGCAGAAGTTTTATTCCCAAGATCTAGGGTTTTAAGATGTTGGGGGAAAGTTTTATACCAAAGCCTGGTAGATAAGGCTTTGGGGTACACTTGCTGGCCCCCACTTCTGCATTTATCATGCCAGAGTGGGGAAGGAGCCATGACAATAACTGCTTGCCAAACTGCATTTAGTCCCTGTCTAATGCAATTGCTAACATGCAGCGTACTGCCTCCTTTTCGTAGCAAGGCAACACTCACCTGGCAACATGCTGGGCCAAACTAATCTTTGTTGTAATGCCAATCACTTCCCACAGGATTGACATTTGCTCACCATTCTTTAACCCTGCCCGTCAACTTCTGCTCAGTTCTACAAAGCCCCTGTGCCACTTCTACTATTAGAACTTGGATAGGCCAACGCTTTGAATCATCTGAATGATAAAGAGATTAGCATTGTCAACAAGAAAAGAAGCAAAACTCGCATTTTTCTTTTCAAAAGCTTTTAATAGGACACATTTGTTTTTGTCATTTGTAAAGATTTACACTCATTTCCTTTTTTTAAAAAAAGAGAACATTTTAAACCCAACTTTCCCCTTTAATACCATCTTTTTTTTTTGCCCTGATCAAAGACCCCGATTTTGGTGTCTATACCTGATACAGTATAACAATATATTAACTATTAAATACAAAGTTCTATCCTATATGCTAGGTTGTTACGGACATTGCAATGGTACTGTGCCTACTCTAGTCATCTTGTGTAATAGTGTACATGGATTATTATAGTCAACGGGGCAGAGAAAGAGGACCAGGGCATAGCCTAATTTACAACAATAAATCTTTTGTATTCTTTGTGCCGTATAACCAAACCTTGTGTTGAGTGCAATCTACAGAAGCCAAAAACAGTGTTTTTCCACTCCTCCAAGTTATCTACAGTTTACATAACCTGCAATCTGTCAATGAAACATTATGTGCAATGGTTGCAAATATGGAATTTACGTTTTTCCAGACACACTCACCATCTCTTTTCCTCTCCCAGATAAAACTGGCAAGAGCAGAATATTCTATTACCATCTGTTTACAGTAAATCCACAGTATTAAAGTGCTGGTGTGCTTTGAATGAACTGGAAAGCATTGTGATTGTGAATTAGCGTCAGGGCTGGCTGACTCCTCAGAGTGGACACATTTTTTACCAGTACAGTTTTTAACAGCGTTGCACTGCAACATTCCAACCGTTACCTTTATGCAGTCTTTGGAACTAGGTTATAAATCTTGGAATACACTAGGTCTGGCCCCAAATTTATTAAAAGAAAATATGAGACATAGCTGCTTCTCTTTCCAAGACGCTATGCACATTTTAACAACTTCTCTACAGATTTCTACAAAAATATAAAAATTCAATCAACATAACCATTCTACAGAATTCCTGTGGACTTTGTACATTTTTCTTTTTAAAAAATTCAAATTCTATAAAATCCCCCACCCCCAGGTATTTAAAATTATTTTAAGATTATTGCACACTCTGTAGTACGTATATTTGTTTTTCAAAAGGGCAGCTAGAAAAAAACCCTCATATCAGTTAGAAAACAAACTATTTTACATGCATTTTGCATCTTTGTACAGTATGTTTCCATTTATTGGTCTTTATTGAACATGAATGTATCATGTAAACTTCATTTATTAGTCTCT